ACCCCGCAGCGGTCACTCTTTGTTAACCTCAAAACATCGCGCCCCCTTCTGGGGACGCTTGCTCGGCCGAATCTCACCCAGCTAGTCCCCATATTCTTTACCCCCTGACTTTTAGGGAAAAGTGGCGGGGAAGTCCGGTTTCCGTCTTGCTGCTACTCCTGTCGACTACAAAATGGCCTCCCGAAAGGATTTATGCAGTGCAATTCCTCGAATAGAATACTTTGATTCCATGGTTTATTAATATGAAACTGTTTAACTGAAAATTACCGATTTCCAGGCTAGGATCTACAAGTTACAAAGAAAACAAAAATGTTCCAAAGATAACAGTATTTATTTCTCAACTAAATCTTGTAAAGTGCCCTTCTAGAGAGTAACATGAAACTTTTAACTGAAGAAAGCGCGCCAAGTATTTACATTGTTTCATTGGGAACTGTACAAAAGAAATAGTAAGTTACAGTGGAAATAGAGTACAGCTGGATAGATAAAGAAGCTAAAGATGTAAAAATCTAGATGCCGTTTGTTCAGTCTTCAAACACTTGAAACCCAGATACTTCTGTATCAACATTAGAAAAAAGCCCTCAATAGCTAAAAATCTGCTGGTCTTGAAATTCAAGTGGTCCTCAAAATAAAACTTTATCTTGGGAGAACTGTTTACTTATTACACCTGGCAACACCATTGTGTGAGTACATGAAGATACACTAGTTGGAGGCAAAAGAAAATTCCATTCCTTGACCCTTTCCCTAATTTTCACTTAGTGCACGCGTGCACCCAAACAAACTATACAACAGTCTAATGTGATTTTAAAAATCATTTTATGGAACGAAAATTGGAAGGACACATACCACATGTTAGTGGTAATCTCTGATTTTGCCCTGTGATTTTCATTTTCTAAGTTTTTTTGCATAGGGCCTGACTTTCAAGTTTAATTTTTGTAAAAACATTCTAATCAGAGAAACATTCTATCTTCGTGAAACCTGAGTGTCCTAGTGAAACTTTCATATGGTATTACTTCCTATATTCATCTTGTAATTGTTTGCTTGTTTCCCTAGTAAAGTCGAAGCAATTTTCTGATAGTTTTGTTTTTCTTCCATCTCTACTCTCCAACTGGCCAGCTACTGCTTAGCACACAGAATTTTTTGCATTTGTTGTATAACTGAATTACTGTTTTGAACAATGACCCCAACATAGGCCAACCATTTTGGAAACCTATTGCCAAATTTTGTTCCTTGTGCCAGTTTAATGAGACACTCTCAGCAATCATTATTTGCCACACCAGGAAATGAGTTTTATAATCTCATTTCCCTTTCCCTCACTATCATCTAGCATTCTCTGTAATGTTATGATCTGAAGGAGACACCAGGCACATATGTGTATTTTAACACCAATTTCTCAGAATGTTTTTCTTTTTTTATCTGTTTGAGCAGCTGTTGTATACATGACCTGCTGCAGTCTGGTCATTCTGCACCATCAGAAAGTGCTTAGCAGCCACATCATCCAATCCTGGCAATCTCCTGTTTTATAGCTAACAATCAGCAGACTTTGTAACTCAAATTTATTAACTCACCCCGTTTGCAGAATGTTCGAAATAGAAAATTCAAGGGAAGGATATGCTCAAATTAGTATTTTGCATTATTTTGGAAACAAGTTATTTTCAAGGTAAAATGGAAAAATGTTAAATGAGATGTGGAAAAGATACAGAATTAGAAAGTATTCCTGCTTCTCAAGATTTGAACGTTTACAGTGTTATTAAGTTCCATGTTCACATCCATCTTAAAATTTAAGAAAGATTATTTAAAACTATGGTATATACATACAATAGAATATTATGGATTTAGAAAGGAATGAAATCCCGATACATGCCGCAATATGGATGAACCTTGAAAAGATTATGCTGAGTGAAACAGACAGACACAAAAGCACAAATATTGTATAATTTCACTTACATGAGATACCTAGGATAGACAAATTCATAGAGACAGAAAATAGAATAACAGTTGCTGAGGGTTGAAGGAAGAGTTCCTGGGAATGGGGAGTTGTTATTTAATGGGTACAGAGGATCTGTTTGGGATGAGAAAAGGGGTCTAGAAATGAATGGTGATACTGTACAACATTGTGAGTGTACTTAATGCCACTGAATTGTACACCTAAAATCGTTAAACTGGTAAATTTTAGGATATATATTTTTACCACAATGAAAAATATAATGGATAAAAAATTATATGACGCTAATATGCTACAAGCAAATTATTACAAGTTACAACTCTTAACTCTTAAGTAATATTGTTACTTCAGCATCTTCTAGAAAGTAGTATCTGGCATAATGAAATATGAGGATATAAAGTAATAATTACTTTAACCCATTTCCCATTTGCCCAAGAATACTCACCGGCAGCACTTATGGCTGCCACATTTACCCCGAGATAACTTGTGGATCATAGTCCTAATCTTACCCCTAAAGTTTACCATGAAATATCTTGCTTTTATTATTATTTTCCCATTCCTCTAGTATATCGATAGTCTTTGGAAACAAATGAAATCATTCAATTTAGAGCATTCTGATTTTAGTAGTGGTATTTCCATTTACAAAATATAGTAATTCTTGATCGCTGAAAATATCAGATCCTAGATGTTCTACTTTGTGTTGTTCTGTGCTTTGAAATTTACCACACACAAAAAAATTATTGAATACTGATTGTCATATACATTTGTTACATTAAGATTAGAGACAAGTTGTTTAGAAAGAACTCCAAGCAGTTTTTATAACTCATTTTCACATTGAAAACCAGATTTGCTTCAGCCTAAAATTAACACTAGCAGTGAGCTGCATTTTTTTCCTAAACAGGAAATGGGTTAACAATAAATGAAAATGGGTTTTATACCGGTACTGGCCATTTAAGCCAGATTAGAGAAAGTAAGGTAAACCTATTATGTTCACTGACTGGCATATTCTTACCTAAAATCTTCTGTGATTCAAACTATTGTACTGTTTCACTTAGCTTAGTTCATTTGTATGACATTATTAGTGTTTACCAATATCTGATTCTCCACACACATATAGCGCACAGAAGATGACATTCTTCTAAGCCCCTTTAAAGTAAGGGAGAATTTTGTGAATTAGTTCTGGCCAATGCGCTTAACCCTAAGTGATGACTGTCATTTCTGCTCCTAAGCTTACAAGCCCTGATGTACTATCACATCAACCAAGAAGGCTTGTTTCAGATAATGTTTCAGATAACGCAGCTACAGGTTGATAAATTCTGTCAGACTCGTCATTGTGTTGCTTCATGGGAAGCAGTGGCCAGAGGGAGCCCCAAACCAGCAAAAGACTTTACAATGACCACAGAATAAACAGCTGAAATTCTGGAGTCATTTGTTAATACAGCATAAGTATAACCTATCCTGACAAATATATCATTGGTAACAGAAGTTGGATACTGCTCAAAGAACCAAAAAATGTGTGGCATTAACTTAGAGGTTGGATGGCATATACAGAAAACTAAAATTGGAGGCTAGAAACATGTCACTTCACATTATGCAGGGGTTCTACAACAATAAGTATATCAAAACAGAACATATCCTTTTGGTGGGAGCAACCTCCAGACCTGACAGCACTTCTAAAGAGCCTAGTCTTGGAAAATAAAACTGCCTGGATGGGATTTTGGGGCCATATCTCTTGAAAAGGGAGTCACTGTAGAAATAAGAGTGAGCTGAGTATTTGGTGACCAGATGGTGGATTGTGAGAGACTTCTAGTGTACTCACATATCCATTCTCCTTTTTTTCTGAACCCTTGGGAACTTATTCTTTCCTACCTATACTACCCATCCCTACTCACAATTAGGCAGAGACATGTGACTGCTTCTGGCCAATGGGTGAATGACATTTCCAAGATGAAAAATTTAATTGCTGGTGCAAAACCTTTTAATGCTCACTTTCCCTATCATAGTGGGGAGGCTTGGTGTTGAAATGATAGAGCCACAAGACATTCAGCCTGGATTAGAGTCATCAATTGCCTTTACAGATTGCCCAGACTCACACTGGACTTTGGGTGAGAAAGAAACTTTTGTTGTGTTAAGCCACAGGGATGTGGAGTTGTTTGTTACTGTAGCATAACTGACCTACCTATATACATATGGATATGCAAGCATTTTGGATATTTCTGCTTGAGTACAACTTTTAAAATGTATGAAAATGGTCTTGAGGGGGTTCACAAACCTCTTAAATTACATACAAAAATCTAGTGCATATATTTTTCTGAGAAGATACATGTCAAGATACAAAAATCTAGTGCATATATTTTTCTGAGAAGATACATGTTTTTCTTCCCAGCTTCCATACTGCCATTAGCAAGAGTGAAAAGAGGGCCCCCAAATTAAAACTCTCCTCTCCCCTCAACACTCATAGCTTCCCTTTGGGACTATCAGGACTCATATCATAAAACCTTTATCCCTAGAACATCCTGCATCCCCTGGACCTTGAATTTCCATATGGCTCTGTACGTAATGTTGCTTAATTTTCCTCCATATCATTTACCATTTATCTTTTCTTTACTTTTCACTTCTTAGAATGTCTATTTCCTCACTTCCTAGAGTGATTTCTGTCTCTTGCGTTCGGTGCTGTATCCACAACGCCTGTCCCATAGCAGGTATTCAATAAATACTTATTAAATTGAACAAATGAAAGATAGTCTGCAACTTTCACCATAATCTCAAAGAGCTACACGACCCCAAAATTGTTAAATAAAAACAAACAGGTAGACAAAATATTTCCTAATGAATTGTTCTGCCTAAATAACTCAAAATATTTTTAGAAACATTTGAAAGGATGAAGACTCATCCATGGTAGATACTGAAATCTGAGTTAAGTGGCCCATTGTATTTTATTCTGAAATAAGGAATTTCTAAAATATGAAGGATATTTTGAATACAGCTAAGTAAATACAGTGTTGATAGATAACATATTCTGTCAATAATGTGCATAGCAAAAACTCCAGGACAAATCTTGAAACAAATAAGAATTTAATATTTATTATGCATATTTATACAGAAACATTAAAATAATGCTCAATAAGTTACATAGCCATTTTCTAAAAACACTGCAAAAAAAAGTAGAGATAAAACAGTAGGAATGATATATTAACCAATGTTACTAAAAATTTAAAATATAGTCATCTATCTTTTAAACAGATTTGAATTGATGATTTCTATATGAACCAAACATTTTAAATATCTAAAAATAGTCTGTCTTAAAGTACTAGATATATTTAAAGGCTCAGTTTTATTGCACATATCTAGTTTAGGCTTACTTATCAGGTAACATGCAGACAAATTAAGAGTGTGAATTTAAGAAAGGCAGGCAGGATGTTGCTTTATACTACAAAAATTAGATGAAGGGGATACATGTCACAGCTTAATCTTCAGGAAATTTTTTTAAGCTGTTGTATAAAATCACTGAGTAAAATCATCACATATGCGAGCTAAGAACTATTAAATATTATATAGCCAAAAAGCTCTGTTGGCACATTTAAAATAAGAAAACAGGTATCAACTAACTACTCTTAGAACCAACACCAACTATCACTATCCTTAGCCACCCAAAAAGGTGATTTTCATATCCATTTTAAAAACACTAGATGACAATCAAATATAGGCATACACTTGGTTCTGTCAAAAATATTCACAGAATTGGCACATAATCAAAATTTTATTATTTTAAACATGGAAAAACTAGGGGAAACTGTGATTAGACATACCCTGTAAACCAGTTTTAAATAAAGCTAGTGAAACTTCTCTGTGTTACTTTTTAAATTCATTTGGCCAAACACTGTGGTCATTATTTGAGGATCTGTAAACATTCTTACTTATTTGTACTGTTTCCTGAGGTCATCTGGAAACTATTGTTATTACAGTAGCTTCATAATTTCATACCCCTGCAAATGTGCTTTGGAAATATTCTAAATAAAAACAAAAATTTAAATGCAGACCCATGTGTAACTTAATATACTTTCCCTATTACAAAAGCTATCTTTAGGAAATCCTTAGGTATCAAAATAAAGTTTACTCCATTACCAGCAGGCCCAGAAAAGCATTTATAAACTCTAGGCCCTAAAAAAGTAGATTCTAGAGTAAGCTCATTTAACATGAAATGAAAATAAAAATAAAAGTATCTTATGTATATGTTAGTTCTGGGATAATGTCTAAAACTTATATAGGCCTCTCCATTTTAAAACATGTTGAAATAGTGTCAGCACAGTGCCAGATCCATAGCAGGCATCCCATAATATATACTTAATGAATAAATGTGAAGTTAAGCATAAAAACTATTGCAGTACTTTAGTACTGAGGTAATGTTCTGAAGCTACATTATATTGCTCACTCAATGAAAAATCAGTTTTAATAAATAAAGCTTAAAAGATCTATTTGATAAATACAGCACTGATGTATTTCCTGGCATCCTTTTAATGAAAACAGGTACTAGGCACTTTCCTTGATTTTTGCCCTCACCCATCTATCACTCACCATCTCTGACCTTAACTGTGGAAGAGATAAGCCAAAAGAAAAGAATGCTGATTTCTTTCTCTTCTTTCTCCTTTTCTCTCTTTCTCTCTCTCCCTCCCTTTCCCTGCTCCTTTTTCATCTGTCCATCCAACAATGAAACAAGAAGCAGGTGACTATTCAATGAAAAGTGCATGCCTCTTAATGGTATCTTTTCTAGGAGAAAAATGAGGACTTAATATTTACATTTGGGGGAGAGGGATGGTAATTGTCACTACCCAGATGGCTTAGATTTAACTAATAATTTTCAAAAAAAATTCACTGTTTTGGTATTGAAATCATCAGTGTTAATGGATTACAATTAAACAACAAACACTATTTAAACACTGTTTAAACGACCTTTTATAGGACAATCTGAATTTGCAAACTTTCCACCTTTTCACTATTAAAAATCAAGAAAAATACTACTATTGAAATTGCAACAGCTTAAAAATAGAATTTGTACCATGACATTTAAAAATTCTGCATTTTGTATAGTATTACCATCTTTAACACTATTCACAATTCTGTTCATCCATATAGCAAAAGGCAGCACTGGTAACCTTGGATACTGTTATATGTACTTATATGTTAAAAAGTGTCAGAGTCTTGGTTAAATATCCCCACAATTATCTCCAGTCACTATTCTCATCCTTCCTACCCAAGAGGAGAATAAACTGGGACTAGACACTTATCCAGCATCTGCCTGTAGTATCATTCATTGGCACTAATGATTAGGATGCCTGAACCATGCAGTTATGTATTTTGATACAATACGGTGATACTGAAGTAGCCATTATTATTTAAAATTTAAGCCTAAGAAAGAGTAATAGTAGTGTGCCAAGTTTTGACAGCTTAATAATTTGTATTCTACAGGTAAAAATGATTTTTGCTATTATGTAATTATTTAAAAAGATAATCAGAAATGCCAACTTTATGTCCCATTGAAGTTAAACAAACTTGCACTTATTAATGATGCTTGCTAAAGAGAAAGTGATCTCAAAACCCTAAAACCATGATTAGTATTTACTGATCTACAGAACTAGATATTTCCCTATTAAGTATAATAAGGATATAATTTTCTATCATTTACAAATTTAATTTGGTAATTTATATTTCATAGGTACTCTATGGTCTCATATGGATTAACGATTTACTTCTATTTACCAATTCTACATGTTACAATTATCTATAATTCTATTTCGACCTTGACTAATCACTTGCAAACTATCCTTAACTCCACCATGAGTAGATTACAAATAATGTTAATGTCAATATTTTTGTAGTTCTCAAAATCTCAAAGCAGTAAGCTAATCAATATACCATTTGTAAACCCTTATTACTGAAGTTACAGTGATACCTTTATATATGGCTGAATCATACAAAATATGACAAAGTCACTATGTCTGTTGTGTAAGTATATGTGATAGCAGTGTTTCCCACATATCAGTATACCACTGGATAGCCCTGAGATGATTTTAAGTGGAGTGCTACATGGATGAACAATTTTTCTTTAACAGTTATGTATTTATTTTGATACTTATTAGAAAAAAATACAACTAGCACATAACATGTGGAATATGCTCAAAATAGGGCTATTAAAAAAGGCTAAAAATAAGGTTAAAAATAAGTAAACAATGGCACAGGAGATATAGATATATACATACATATGAGATCAGAAAGGTGATATATGACTCACACTGGGAAACACTGTTTTAAGGAATGATCTGATTTAGCCAGCATCATTTCTGAATGTTTGTAATAATAAACCACATCATAAAGGGTTTTCCTCTACTACTATAAATTTGGGTTTTGATCCAGGACAAATATTTTTTTTAGAACATGAGTTTACATTCATTTTAAGAACATAAGAGCATTGAGTAAATTTAATTTACTTTAAAAGGGTTCACCAAAATGGTAAAAATGTTCAGGAGCATTTGAGGGACATGCTAGTCCTATGGACAAGACTGCAAAGGCACATTCATATTATGGTTATCACTGCAGCATTTAAATAAAAGTGATCTAAGTAATCATTACCCTTAAAATTAAAATACTCTTTCATAAAAAAGAAGGTACGCTTGTGCACTAAGTGCTCTTGATTCTGGAACCACCTGCACATAAGTGTCGCTAACATGGACCCACTGGCCTGCAGATTCACTATCAGGTTCTTTCAAACCTAATAAAACAAAAATAAGTATAATTTTACAATAAGTGTGTTCTTACTCTACATTATAAGCAATAACACATTCATCACAAACTACAGTTACCTAATACTAGATCTTATTGCATTAAGTGTGTTTCTTCTTGGGTTAAACATGTTCCTAAACGAACTCTTTCAAAGCATTGATAGTATCATTTTACTTTAAATATCTAGTGCAATATTATATAGCCTTGTAAATATTTATTATTGGAGGAAAAAAATCATTTTCAATAAAAGTAAAAAGAGAAAAAAAAGTTAGCTTGCTGATCCATAAGCAAAGTCAGCAAATTTTCAACTCTCACTATTCTGAGGACATAGTATATCTTTAAAAACTTTTGCTATTAAATAAAATGCTGCTTCACTGCAATACATGATGACTCGACACCTTGGAAAAAAATGTGTTAACTCATATCACCTAGATGAGTATAGACTTATGATATTTAAGATTCTTTAAGATTATCTTAGAACTCTTAAATATATTTCTAACAACATTAACAAAATGAATCCACTCGAGTTATCCATGAAATAACTGACCTCTAACAGGAAAGGAAAAATAAATTAATTTGTTTTTAAGAATAACATAAACTCAGGATAGCTTACCAGGTACATTTTTCTTTCCAGTGATATGTTCCAATAATTTCCTGGAAGGTGTTCTGACTTTCACATATGCGGTGTAGTGACCTCCTCTCATTGAGCCACTGTGTTCCACTATGCCATACAGACCATAGAGAACTTTCTCTCCCACATTTACATTCTTTAGGACAAAAAAACAAAAAACCGAATTAGTAATATTTAGGACAAAAAAACAAAAAACCAAATTAGTAATATTTAGTGAAATACTGTAAGGAAAATGAAGTCAAAATGTATGTCCTATTTAACATAAGAGAAATGCATATAAACTACACTGAGATACTTTTCCATATGTATTAGACTGGCAAAATGTAAAAGCCTAATAACATCCTCTGTTGGCTAAGCTGTGGGGGAAAAAGTACATGTGAGAATGCAAAGTGGTACAACCCTTATGCTGGATCTCATGTTATCTAGCTAAATTACATATATATTCCTCATGGATTTTTCAATCCTATTTCTAGGATTCTATCTCACAGATACATAAGCAAAATGTAAAAAGACATGCAACAGACTACAAATTGCATGATTATTTGTAATATCAAAAAACTGGAATAGAGTAGACCCGAATGTCTATAATTGGAGACTGGTTGAATAAACTTTGACACATCCATACAATAGAGTATTGTGCTGCTTGAAAAATAGGGTGCAGACTATTTCTAAGTACTGCTATGAAATAATCCCCAGGATATAATGGAAAGAATAAGGTATCAAAAAGGATACATATTGTAAGCTATGATTATTTAAGAGGGGAGAAGCATATAAACATACCTATCTGTTTAGATTTTTAAAAAGCAATAAAATAAGCCATAAGTTTTAAACAATGGTTATCTATAAAGGGAAGGAAGAAATAGATGGAACAGACATGGAGAAAAATTACAATTGTTTGAATTTACCTCGTTTTGTAGATTTGATACATTTTATGCAATTATTCCCTGACAAGAAAAAGTTCATCACTCTCAAAACAGTATTACAAGAAGTATTAAAGGGACTTAAGAAAAAAAAGTCAAAATATGAATAATAAAATGGCAATAACTACATACCTATTAATAATTACTTTAAACGTAAATGGATTAAATGCTCTAATCAAAAGACATAGGGTGGGAGTCTGGTCAAGATAGCAGAGTAGGTAAATACAAGGTGCTTGCCTTTTCTCACAACCATATCAAAATTACAACTAAACTGCGGAATAGCTATCATGAGGAGTCGCCTGATGTCTAGCTGAACAGAAGTTCTACAACTGGAGACACACAAAAGAGGCCACCTTGAGACTGGTAGGAGAGGCAGAGATGCAGAATGGGCTGGTGCCACTGCTGAGTAGGGCAGTTGAGAATCGAGAGAAATATCTCCAAGGCGGTGATACCCCCGGAAGAGCATGGGGTCCTGGCCGCACACTGGGCTTTCCCCAGTGCTAGGAGGAAAAGTCCCCATAACTTCTGGCTGTGAAAACCAGCTGAGATTATGGCTAAGTGAGATGGAGGGCTGAGGGAACTGCAGACTTTCCTTTTAAGGGGCCGGCGCACAGGCTCACTCTCTCTGAGCTCCAGTGCTGGGGCAGCATCTGGAAAGGTGCCAGGGACTTATGGGGAGGAACTGAGTTGTCTTACTTTAGGACGAGGGCTGGAGGGGCAGCTTTCTCCCAGACGTAAGTGCTGGCAGAGGACACTGTTCCTTTGTTGAGCCCTGCCCAGCTAGGCTTGCAGACCAAGGCAGGCACCATATCTGAATCTCCATCAACCAGGTTAACACTGGTCGCCCTGCCCTGATAATTCCCTGAGACATCACCACTGTGTATTTTCCATAAAAATGGCCTGTCTTAGCTCATGCTGCAGACTTTTCTAAAATCTCTCAAAGGTTCACAGAACCTAAGCAAGCAGCATCTGGCCTCGACGTGCCCCGTACCTCTTGCTGAGCAGCCCCAAGCCGGGCACTAGCAGCAGCCGGCCTCAGTTTGCAGCTTGGCCTTTCAAGGGACTTCTAAGACCAGCATGAGTGTTGGCCATCTGTGGATTGCTTGGTGGCCCATGCCAGATGGCCTCGGGCAGGGCACAGGCTGCACCTGAACTTGGCCTGTGGCAAGGCCCCTCCCAGGAGGACAAAACACCCAAAAGGCAAACAGGGCAGGCACCAGAGCCCTGCTAAAGCAAATCCTGCTCTGTAGGGTCAGCCCCTGCACAACAGCTCCTCTACTGGTCACAGCCAGTCATCGCAACCAACCAGCCCCAGGGTCAATAGCTCCTACTGATGAGCAAATAGCAACCAAAGCCCAACTACAACAGGAGGGCATGCACAACCCATACGAGGGATATACCTGGAGCACCCGGCTCAAGTGACCAGGGAAGACTGTGCCACTGAGACCCACAGCATGCCTACTATATAAGGCCACTCTACTAAGACTGGGAGACATAGCAGCCCTACCTAATACATAGAAACAAACACAAGTAGGCAGCCAAAATGGGAAGACAAAGAAACATGTCCCAAATCAAATAATAGAACAAAGCTCCAGAAAAAGAAATAAGCAAAATGAAGACAAGCAATCTACTAAATGCAGAGTTTAAAACACTGGTTATAAGGATGCTCAATGAACCTAGGGGAGCTCAGTGAGAACTTTAACAAAGAGATGGAAAACATAAAAATGGAGATAGAAAACATAAAAAGAACTAGTTAGAAATGAAGACTACAATATCTGAAATGAAGAATAACTTAGGAGGAATTAACAGTAGATAAGATGAAGCAGAGGATCGAATCAGCAATTTAGAAAATAAGGTAGCAGAAAACACCCAATCAGAACAGCAATAAGAAAAAAGAATCCAAAATAATGAGGACAATTTATGGGACCTCTGGGACAACATCAAGCCTAACAACATTTGCATCATAGGGATATCAGAAGGAGAAGATCAAGAGCAAAGAATTGAAAACCTATTTCAAGAAATGGTGGAAAACTTTGCTAACTTGGTGAAGGAAATAGACAAACAAGCCCAGGAAGCATAGAGAGTCCCAAACAAGATGAACCCAAAGAGGCCAAAACCAAGACACGTCATAATTAAAATGCCAAAGGTTAAAGACAAAGGGAAACTTAAAAGCAGCAAGAGAAAAGCAATTAGTTACCAACAAGGGAGCTTTCATAAGACTTTCAGTTGATTTCTCAACAGAAGCCTTACAAGCCAAAAGGGACTGGCATGAAATACTCAAAGTAATGACAAGCAAGGACCTACAACCAAGATTACTCTACCTAGCAAAGCTATCACTAAGAATCAAAGGACAGATAAAGGGCTTCCCAGACAATAAAATGCTAAAGGAGTTCATCATCACCAAGCCAGTATTACAGGAAATGTTAGAGGGACTTCTTCAAGAAGGAAAAAAAATAAAAATTGTGAATAATAAAATGGCAATAACTACATATCTAGCAGCAATTACTTTAAATGTAAGTGTATTAAATGCTCCATTGAAAAGATAGGGTGACTGGGTAAGAAAAGACCCTTACATATGCTGCCTTCGAGAGACTCATTTCAGATCGAAAGACACATAAAGACTGAAAGTAAAGGGATGAAAAAAGATGTTTCATGAAAATGGAAACAAAAAAACTCTGGGGTAGCAATACTGATACCAGACAAAACAGATTTTAAAACAAAGAGACAAAGAATAAGATAGACTTTGTAACAAAAGACAAAGAAGGACCCAGTTACCCAGTTATCTCACTTCTGGGTATTATCTGAAGAAACCCAAAACACTGCTTTGAAGGGACATGTGAATCCATATATTCACTACAGCATTATGTACAGTAGCCAAGATATGGAGGCATCCTGGGTGTCCATCAATGGATGAATGGAAGAAGTGGTACAGATATATAATGGAATATTACTCAGCCATAAAAAAGAATGAAATCTTGCCATCTGCAACAACATGGATCGATCTAGAGGGTATTGTGCTGAGTGGAGTAAGTCAGACAGAGAAAGACAAATGTCATATGTGGAATCTAGAGAGCAGGATAAACAAACAACAGAAACAAGCTCATAGATAGAACATTCTGATGGTTGTCAGATTGGGGGGTGGAAGAATTAGTGAAGGGGGATTAAGAGGTAAAAATTGGTAGTTACAAAATAGTCATGACGTTATAGAGTATAGCACAGAGAATATGGTAATTAATATTGTAATAACTATGTATGGTGTCAGAAGGGTACTGGATTAATCGGGGTGATCATTTTATATAAATGTCATCACTGTGTTGTACACTTGAAACTAATATATTTTATGTCAATTATAATTGAAAAACATAAAAAATATAAAAATTTAAAAATATGTATAGGCAGATGTAAAAAACATGTTTTATGTTGAGTATTCTAGCATTAAATAAAATATGGATTAGAAAAAAAATACATAAGGTGGTTGAATGGATAAGTAAACAAAAACCATACATATGCCACCTACCAGAGACCTACTTGAAATTAAAAGACACATACACACACTTGAAAATAAAGGGATGGAAAAGATATTTCATGCAAATGAAAAATAAGAAGCTAGGGTAATAATAATTATATCAGACAAAATAGGCCTTTAAAAAAAGGCTACAATAAGAGAAAAGAAGGACTCAGAAATTCCACTTTTGCGTATCTGAAGAAACCTAAAACACTAATTTGAAAAGACATGTGCAACTCTATGTTCATTGCAGCATTATTTACAATAGCCAGGATATGGAAGCAACCTAAGTGTCCATGAATAGACAAATGGATAAAGAAGATGTGGTACATATATACAATGGAATATTACTCAGCCATAAAAAGGAGTGAAATCTTGCCATTTGCTGGATTCTAAAGTGTATTACACTAAGTAAGGTAAGTCAAACAGAGGACAAATACCATATGATTTCACTTATGTGTGGAACTTAATAAAAAAAAATAAATGAACAAACAAAACAGAAACAAACTCATAAATAGAACAAACTGATGGTTGCCAGATGGAAGGGGGGTTGGGTGAATGGATAAAAAAGTAGAAGGGATTAAGATGTGCAAATTGCTAGTTATAATAACAATCATGGGAAGTAAAATACAGCATTGGAAATATAGTCCATAATACTGTAATAACTACATATGGTATCAGATGGGTACTAGATCTATGGGGGTGATTGCTTCGTAAGTTATAAATGTCTAATCACTTTGTTGTACACCCGAAACTAACATGTCAACTGTAATTTAAAAAATTGTTTTTTAAATGAGTGGATATTGTTTAAAGCTCCTAAAAAGTTTATGCAGTTATTAAACAAAATTGTAAAAATTTAAATTAAAAAAATAATTTCTAAAAATTTTAAATTTAAAAATTAAGCAAGTGAAGGATATATCCAGTTGGCAGTATAATCATTTGGATAGGAACCACTAGGGTCATGTCAAAAGAACCCAGGAGCCAACTTGAAGTGGCTTTCAGAAGTCAACTATAGACCCATTAGACTAATATATTAGAACACGAATAAAAAGAAAAGTGTACTAAACTGAAACATATCCAATGTGTCTAAATCTATGAATTTATAATGCTAAATTAATTGATCACCGTTTGGGGATGCTAGTGAATTCATTCATTATTCTAAAAAATGGTTTGGTTCCCTCAAGGAAAACAAAGTCATCAGTTTCACTTACTTGTACAGTTGTTACATATAAGTACAAGCAATTATAAGCCAGTGTACTGTCTGTATCTAATTTTTAAAGTGTTAGCAATTTTAAAGTATCATACTCACCCAACCAGTATGCTGTCCTCAGTAGTGTACATGAAATGGAATAAGAATGCACTAGTATATATTGATTTATAAAAGAAAAAAACAAATGCTAAAACTACTGCCATTTAAGCATATCATTCACAAGGAACAGGAGAGGGCACAAAATCTGTTTACTTCTCTCAGCAACTATCTGCTTCCAGCAGCGCAGACAAGCAGCTCTAATCTTCATGACCACCAGGTCTCATGCTTTGCACATCTTTTCAGCTTTCCCTAAATCTATTCTCAAAGGACAAAAGTCATATTGTGTTACGTGTTCCACATGTTACTGATTTAGCTTCACTACCTATAAAATTCCCTTTCAGAGAAGCTTAATTTAGAAAGAAAGAGAGAGAGAGACAGACAGACAGACAGACAAGAAAAGCATGGCATAATAAACATTCATAGGTTACTTTTAAGCATACAATTTACAAATCAATTAAATTACTTAATATACTGTACCTTACAAGTAGCAGAACAGAATGGTGCTAAATCAAGCATAAGTGGAAAATCTACATGTCTGTTTACTTTGCGAAGACTCAATCCAGCCTTAAAAAGACAAAAATAATTTTGTAATGCAAACAATCTAAATCATGTTTGTTAATTAAAATTAAAAGAATCCTAGAAGTTAGTTTTTTTCATAGATATAAAAAACATGACTAATGAATAGTTGAAAATTGATATAAGACTAAGTTTTTCATTAGGTTTCATAAACTTTTACTGCAAAGATCATTCGTTTATATGTGCATTTTTACCACAAACAATATGGGGATAATTACTTTCACTGTGGCTTTTCAACACTTAGAGAAAAAATAAATTCAATGTGATAAAAGCTCAGTTCCTGATACATATGCTACCATGAAAGGTATTCAACTAGTGTCAGGAGCATATCCTAGGCCTGACTTAGTGACTGGTTAACAGTTACATTGACTCTAGGCAACTTCATCTAGATCAAGGCATTAACCTGTCTCAATGACTGGTTAACAGTTAAACTGACTCTAGGCAACTTCATCTAGATCAAGGTATAAATGGATTAGATTAGATCCATTTCAGTTCTAAAAGTAAGTGATATTCATTCATTAAAAGGAAATAGCCTGAATACTCAAATCATTTTACCAATAAAAGTAAATGTTCTATTTATATAATAAATCAAAAGGAACTGTCATGTTAAGTAAGCTCTATTTTTCTCTATTTTTAATTACCAAAAGCAGAACTTGAAAAATGTATATTTTGCATTATGTAATGATAAAAAGAACTAGTTAATAGACTGTCAAAAATTATTGGATAGGAAATCTACAAATAGAAACTCTACTGGAATCAGAAGATACTTAAATTTGAATTACTTGGGTAACAAAAACTAACAGATACAACCTTTCATGCAAGGCTTTCATGACTTCAGTGACATAATTTTAGTATAGATTTGTTGCATATTTCTTACCTCTCTTTAAAGAAAAAACTTATTTTTTGACCAAAATATACCCACTTACTGATGTTTTTTCAAGTGATGTTTAGAACACTTACCATGATATCTGACATGAAATTATGAGGTTATATTCCATGAATACTTATTTAATCTGTACTCAATTTGTTTGCCTCTTTTTTCTCATCAGGTGACCTCTATAAGCATCTAATACCAGCACTATCTGAGATCATTTCAGGCTCATATGTCCTCCCTAAACTGAACTGTGCTGTTGAGAAACCACCCCATAATAGGGGAGACTTTGTAAAAGCCTTTAATATAAGATGAATCCCTTTTTCTTTTTTGTCAAACTTATTTTTACTTACAGTTGACATGCAATATTATATTAGTTTCAGCTGTACAACATAGTGATTCAACACATATATCTCACAAAGTGATTACTCCAATAAGTCTAGTAATCATCTTGAATCTATTTTTCTAGGAGATAAGTTTTGGAAAATATCTTGCCTTATATTTGGGAATATGCAGGCTCCACCCTATTTGTTTCTTTTTTTTAACTGAATATTTTCCCATGTCATTAAAATATAAATACGACGTTGTGCACATTGGACAGTTACATCAGGCCTCATATCTGGCATGACCTACAATGACTGAGATACACATTTTTGTGTATATCTCTCTTTCCTTGTGACAGGTTCTGACAAGTGAAATTACTTAATCAAAAGTAATTACTTTTGTTAAAAAATTATGCTTATTCAAAACAGTACTTAATGTTCTTGATATATATTATTAAATAACTTTCTAGGTATTATGAACTTATACTCCCACTGCTGGAACACGAGAGTGCCTATATCTCACTTATCAGCATGACCGCATCTTTGCTAATTTGAACAGGTCAAAAAAGAATCTCACTGTCATTTTATTTCGCATTTGGTTTAGTTGGAAAGGATGGACCTTTTTCTTCATACTTTTTTGGAATATTCACTTCTATGAACTGTCAATTCATGTTCTTTGCCATTTTTCTATTAAGGTCTTAATATTTTTCTTATTGATCTTTAAGAGTTCTTTACATATTTATGGTATTAGTCATTTGCCATATTTATGACAAAGATCTCTATCCTGTGTGAGATTTGCCTTTCAGTGTCGTGGATGTTTCTGATATACATACCTCTAAAGTTACTATAGAGAAACAGGCTTTCAGGGACACACTAAAGTACTAAAAGTAGAAACATTGCTCAGAGTCTGCTCCCTATAATTCCCAGTACCTAGGAATAAGAATGTGACTCTGCTGACATTACATGTAGCTTAAGAGCAAGAAGGGACAGAATTGTCCATAAATATTTCTATTTAAAGACATGAATTCTTTAAGTTGTTCCTAAATAGGGATGCAAGTACCAAATATAAAATAGCTGTGGCACATCATGCAATTAGCTTCTCAGATCTGGCATAACCTTATATTACTCAGAGTCACTACAGATCTATACCTTTCATTAGGCATTCTGATGCTATCAGACAAAATACATCTGCTTCTGCTCTCCACAGTCATTTCATTTCTGCTGCATTTCTATAACCCTGGCTATAGAAAATCAAGAACTTATAATCTTTCTGTGGATAAGCATGGGGGGTATTTAGAGAAAAATTTCTTCCTGCCCATCTGTGGCCCCCCTGAAATGTTGCAGATATATAATTAAAGCTCTCGATCTTTTCCCTTGAGATTTCTTTTATGGCTTTTATACTTAGAAAATCTTCCATGCAGAGGTCAGCTTAATATTCATTTAAGTTTTCTTCTAGTCTTTTGATAATTTGTTTCATACAATTAAAAAAAATTATCTAAAAATAGTATTGATATATATGGTGGAGAGGGAAGCTTTAAATTTGTATTTCCATCAACAGCTATTTTTCCTAAGTCCTTTATTGAATAATATAGCCCCCTTCTCAACTGATTTCAGATTCTTTCATTATCATAACAAAAGAGCTTTAAATTATACTCATGTCTTATTCTGATTAACAATTCTGACCATACTACTTTAATTATTATAGTTTTATTTTCAAACAGGTGTCAAAAAAAAAATCATCCCTTCTAACTTTTGCAAAAATGTTTTAGTATTTTCACTTATTCATTCTGCCAGAGAAATGTTAAGATCATTTTAACAAATGCAAAGAAGAAAAGTGAGAGAAGGGACTGAGTTAAAACTAAAAATGACTGGAGAGAAACCTAACACATTAAATATATTTTGCTTCCCACCCATTTAGTCTTGCAGGAGTGGAGCCTACCTTGCAGCCCTTTTTGCACTTAGTCCTAGCCAACCGTGCCCAGCCCACACATGAGATCATGGGAGTTCAGAAAGCAATGTGCATGTTGCTACTTCCCTGCTTCTAAGAGTTCTTAATAAATCTTATTTTTCCATTGTTACACACAAACACACACACGTCACTTGGGTTCCTACCACCTAAATCTTCAAATATTGTGAATTAAACAATTTTAATTAGAAAAGTCTTATAAATTATTCTGGCTGAAAAAGCAGTAAATTCCTTATGACAAATTTTTAAATTCAATAAATTAAGTCTAATCCTTGACAGTATTTTATAAGTTTTAGGGCCTATAAAACATATGATGAAAATTATTATAGTGCTACTAAAGGGACTTTTACCTGATGGAATCTTTTAAGATGGAGAATTAGGATAGTTGGAACAGCAGAAATGAGCAACTGCTTCCTGGCATTAGTATAAGCCCCTTCTGTTTTCTTTTCTGCATAAAATAAATTTATTTGTAAGATTCCATTTTATACATTATCTACCACATAATGTTGTCAACATTTATACAGAAGTACCATATCACATTTTGAAAATATTAAAAAAAAGAGAATGAACTATTGATATTTGTAAGAGTGTGGATGAATCTCAAAGCATTATGCTAAGTGGCAAAGAAGCTAGAGACAAAAGGCTATGTATTATATGATTTCATTTATATGATATCCTGGAGAAGGAAAAACTATAGGGAAATACATCAGACTGGTGAGTGCAGGGACTAAATAAACAATGAGAGAGGAGATTAACTGCAATGGGGCGATGGAAATGTTTTATGCCTTGATTGTGGGCGATGGAAATGTTTTATGTCTTGATTGTGGTTACAGGTCTATATATGTTATCAAAACTCATTAAATTGTATACTTAAAACTGATGAGTTTTATTGTATGCAAATTATATACTATATGCAAATTCTATTATATTCAAATTTAGTAAACTGATCTAAAAAAAGAAACTAGACTTCTGGTTACATGGTATCTCTACTCCTTTTCAAAATCACTAAAATGAAAGATTATTTTTTAGAAGGCACACTCTTATACAGATAAAGAATAGGAAGCTGGAAAGGAGATGGTCTAGTAGTAACTTATGACAATGCCATTCAGCCAAAGGCCACCAGAAACACACCTGTTAATTGATAAAATCAGCTCGTCATTCATTGCAGTAAAAGGAGATCATGTTTCATGGGAACTCTGGGGCATTTCAACAAGAACTTGTTAGGAAGGACTTGAATCGGATTTGAATATGGCCAATTGCATATTTAACTTGGATTAATATAATTTGATATTTCTTCCTTCTCCCATCTAGACATTTCCTTAATTACTAATGTATTAAGCATATCTTTATTGTGATGCTTTGATAATTAGGGACTTGCTGACACTGGAAAGTGGGCCTCTCCCAGAGCTAGCTAATTCCTAAAGATAGTAAAAACTTAAGTGTGTTTCATATGCAAAGCAACCAGTCCAAAACCCATACCCCAGCTACCTCCTTTATTGGACTTATACTCTAAGCCACTATCCACCAGCCCTAATCACACCAGGGCCAGGTACCAGACAACTAGAGACAGCCCCTATTGCCCAGAGCCTCTTGAAATTATTCAAAGCTAGTCGGTCCTAAATCTGTTTACCCTGCCTTGCCTATGTCTTCCCTTGGAAACCATGATAAAGACAATTGCCCTAGTTTCCTCCTCAGCTCCCTCTACCTCCTGTGCCCCCTGTGCTTCCTCCCCACACTATAATTAACAAACTATCATTTCAGTGGCAACCGTCTCCTGATCTGTTGGCCTCACCATACATGAAAAATAAAACCTATATTTTGAAACAACTAGTCACTAAGAATCAGAGTATTCTCTCCACTTAGACAAGGCTAGAGATGCACTGAAAATTTCATACTTGACGAGTTACCTTTTTACCATTTTTCCGTGGTCAACTAAACACAGTTATTGTTTTTGCTAGTTTTATAATACGCAATTATTTAAAATCCTCAAATTTATATCTTATGACTTTATACTAGACTGATGGGATTTGTGAAGCATACTAATCTCATCATTAATCTCACTAGTGATACAATTTTAAGTTTTAGGGAAATTTCTTCTGCAAAGATTTCAGATAGCTAGTCCCTTGAAATAAGATTATGTGGATTTGTATTTTCAAGGTAGAGATGAATATTTCATGTTCATCAATTTATTTTTATAAAAATCTATTGACAATTTACTCTGCCCAGTGTCTTCAGTGCTGAGGTACAAATATGTAAATATGAATAAAACAATCCCTGCCTCCAAGCAGCTCAAATATGGAGACAGGTTCTTAGGTTCTTCTCTTTGGGATCTATAACCAACTAGTCACTGACTATCAGATAATCCATGAATAGCAAAAAAAAAAGCTAAATATTTACCTGTAGAACTGGTTTCTCTTTGGTACTTATGTTTCTTTTCAGTACAATTCTCACATAGAAGCTTGTTATTCCCCATTAGCAATTCCATAGATGTAAACTGGTAGAGACAGGACTGAACTGAACATTCTTTAGAAGTAGTTATATAGCTCTGAGAAAGGGTCTGAAAAGCATTTTGAGGACTGTGAGACATATGCTTCTCCTCTGAAAAACATAAATTTGGAAGATTTAGTGGCTCATTTTCTTGGTCAAAATCTCTATCTCCAGTTACAGTGCTGTTTAAATGAAGTTCGGAAATAGCTTCAGACACTCCCTCATCACCACTGTCAATCTCCTTGGTGGGTGGTTCACTTGCTGATGGATGATGAAAGTATCCATTTGTGTGCATACAGCATACACTACTGGATCTCAACAACACAGTCTGCTCTGAAGCACTTTCAGATTCTGAATCCTCACTGTCAGCATCAACACTACTTTCAGAATGGCCAGCTTCTTTTTCACTGCCATCCGTAGGGCTTTCAGTCAGAGTTGATTCTGTATTCGTGACACTTGCAAACACTGAAGAATCCCCTTTCATCTTGAGGTTTCCATTTTCCTGGTATATGACAAGAGCTTTATCTTCTCCAGATGATACTTTTCTTATACGTTTTCTGCCATGAATTAGTTGATTCTGTAAGGTGACAGTGTTTTCAGAGAAAAGAATCCTGTGACTTTACTGAAAATAAATGCCAATACATCTTACTTAAACGTTCCACTATTATTAGATATATATTTTTTCTAGTATCTCTGAAATCCATTTCCTAAATCTACATAAATTACAATCAGTAGAAGATATACTAATAAGTAGTTTTAATTTAAAAATAAACCTTTACACAAGACACCAACAATAGTTGTTCCCTATTTGCAGAAGAATTGTGCTGTGTGGAAGGATTTTCAAGTGTAAACTTCTGCATAATATCTGTAGTCTTTCCACTTCGAAAGCTTTCTATAGAGTAAGTTAAATCTGATAGTATATCAATTTGCTAAGTATAAACCACATCTCGTAAAAAAATTGTTTTAATGAAATAAAAATTTTGATTGATTTTTAAAAATTTATGTGGGATAACAACAGCCAGGTGTGTCCCTAGTGAAATAACATGTCTAGACAATGGTCATCGATGACTGGTAACATGACGGAAAGAGACATCAAACTTGATGGGCACCTCCTGGAAGTCTGCACTGCCATCTATAAGTTTTCTTGCCCAAAATTAAATAATCAAACCTAAAGCTAATTAGGCCTCTATATCTAATTGCCTTAGAGAGAAAATAAAGGAACACAATAGCAAAATGAATTACTATCAATATGGGAATGTACAAAACTGCTTTAAAAAAATGACCTGATTTCTTCAAAAAATAAATTGCAAAGGAAAAATTGGAGGGTGGGGAAAATCTGTAGATTAAAAGAGATTTAATGAATGGATATTGGTGCTATTAAGAAGTTATTAATATTTTAGGTATGATAATGGTACTATGGTTATGTAGTTAAAAAGAGTATCTTTTAGAGACACACACTGAACTATATGATATATTTGGGATTTTTTTCCAAAATAATCTGGGGTGAGGAAGGGGAGAATGTGAAGTAGATATAGATAAAACATTAGCCATTAGCTGATAATTATGAAGCTGAGAACTGAGTACACAGGAGTTTATTATACAATTTTTCTACTTTTGTATAATTTTGAAACTTCTCTTAATAAAAGATTGTTTTAAAAAACAATTGTCTCACAAATGCACATAATCTTACCTTATCTTTAGATGACGAAAGCGTCTTTGTTGCTCCGGGTTGATGAGTATTTTCTATAGTAACAGTGCCACTGTACTGATCCTTATCTGTCTCCTGTAAACTTCTATATTTACTCATTCTTCCCAAAAATAATGGTTTTGAAACCTATATAGATGCCATGTACATAACACGAAATCTCTTTAAAAAATAAATTCTGGATATCATCTACTTTTTAAAATTCTAACTCATTTGAAGTATATTTTCTTTAACATTCACTCTCAAAACAAAATATAAACCATAAGGGTTTAAATTCCTTGAGAATAAGAACTATATCAAACTTTATGCATACATATACAAACCCCAATGTTATGTTGTATAAGCTTGATTACTGTATATAAAAAATGACTCATATATTTGATAATATACTCAACAAATGTCTGCATATATGAATAAATAAATGCCCTTCACAAAAGACGTATTATTAAGTTTTCTCCTTACCCTCTCTTCTATTATAGGAAGTGAAATATCAATAAAAGGATCTTTCACCATGGAGATCTTTAAGAAAAAATATATTGAGAACTTCAGTTAGAATTCTAACATGGACAATGCACTTTTGTAAAAGCTTAAAGAAATCAAACTTCTCAGGCAACTTAAAATTTTAAGTTAAAAAACATTCTTGGAACAATAGCAATTTAATTAGGTATAGCAGCACATATCATTAATCAAAATAAGATATCCCAAAATGTTAATAAATACAACTCAGTTTAATTTTATAATGTTGTAAATATAACTAACCTGTAATATTTAAAGCAACTTCAAAATAAACTGTGTAGAATAACAATGTTAACTAAAGATAAACATATTTTTAGTGAAATCAGTGCCATAACATATAGAATATGAACGTTAAGAAAAGGTCATGTAAAAATGGCCTTTGACTGTGTTTGTAGATTCTTTAGGATAATTCTGTTTTAAAAGATAGTCTAGCTTGTGAGAGAGAAATCAACTTCTATGTTGAATATATTAGAAATTTTTAAGTAACATCATGTTGACACAGTCTGTGCTTCAATATAACAAGCTAGAAGGACATATATAATTCTAAATGTGTAAAACTAAAGAAGATAGACAGGTACTCCATAATCTCCATAAGGAGAATGTACATAAACTCTCTCTTTTACAATAAAATCTGACAGAAGTTTAAGCTGATCGCACTCTAAGCCATATGCTTTCAGAAATATTCTTTATCAAGCCATTGAAAATCTATAAAAATTTATACATCTTTAAACTGTTGTTAAAGTACAGATGGCATTTCAAATAAAAATTACCAATAAATTCAAAGATGTTAATTTAAATCTACTTAAAAAACCAACTTAAACAAGTCCTATAAAAGTAAACTTAAATTCAAATGTGGTAGATCGCCCTAGGTTATGTTACATCAAATTATTTCTTTTGGAACTATATTTTAGGGCAAAGAGAAAATTCACAGAACTTTTTCATTTTAATACAAAGAAGTAGTTAGTACATCCAAGACTTTTAAAACAGGCTAAGAGAATTCCACAGGTTTTTCGAGAGGAAAAATAACACATCTACTCTTAAAAATTATAAATTATGTTTATTTTCTAGGAGTGAAGAATACTATTATGTAGTCATCTGTCACAAAAATAAGTGACTGCTGATATTATATATGTGAAAGAAAATGTACAACGTGACTGTAATCTATTCCATGTTGAAGGGAATTTTAAAGTACCTACATTTGCACATTCTTCACACATGACTGTGCTAGTTAATTCACCAATAAAGATCCGATCTATGAAGTTCATTTTCACACCTTCTTTTCCATATGCTGTAAAAATAATGCTTTTTAATGCAAAAAACATGTCAACCATCAACCTAACAATGTAACATGCTTTTTTCCCCCTGTTGATTCAAAAGAAATCTAAGGCAGATGTCTAGTACCACATTTAATAGTGTATTTTACTTTAAGATGTTATAATGTCTTTCTCCTATGCAATTCTGTAGAGAAAGTATGACTATCAACTACAGTAGTCTTCAAGAAATAACAAACTGCTCTTAAAAGTTAAATTAAGTAGGGCAATCACCACTATTTATACTACACTGCAAGTACTTGCTTTAAGCCCTTTAAAGCTTCTGCGCCTAACCTAGGGGTAGGAGGATGGAAAAAGAGATAACGCTTTTCGTGCTACAGATGCCGGGACCATAACTATGGAAATGACAGAGTAGTCAGAGACAAGTAAACACAGCACAGTGTAAAGAATTAAGATGGCAATTAATAACTGTTATGTGTGTGTGTGTGTGTGTGTGTGTACTGCTATATAAAAAATGTTAAAATTATTGTTTGAAAAATATTTATAAATCAAAGAAATTATGCCTATAATTTCCTTCAAAATAGTCTTGGGTTGAGAGAAAATAGAAAAACGTAATACCCCATGAACTGAATGTAGTTTAAGTGGGATGATGGGTATATGGGGCTTCGTTATACTGTTCTAATAGAAATTTGAAATCCTCCAAAGTAAATACTAGGGGAAAAATATATTAACAAACCTATTCACTTCTCTTTCAAACTTTTTTCCTATCCTTTTTGGGTCTTTACCTTCAAATTACAAACAGCATTTAACATAATTTTAAAATATTATTTGAAGCACCGAATGACAGAACAGACATATCCAGATGTATCAATAAACATTTATTAATTATGATGATAACTAATTAGAAATGATGGTAAACTAAGTTGTTTCATTAAGAAAAACTATACGAGAGATTAAAAATAGAAAAGATTACAAAACTAGAAAGAGGTGAAAGAAAAACTGGGCAGTTATTATAAACATGCACTAGGTGGCACTATCTCAAAACAAAAGAACAAGGTATGCTTGAGAATCTATATTTTTTAAAATCTTGAACCCTTAACTGCAATATAAAGTTTTGGCATGTATATCACAATGTATATTTGTTTAGAAATTATAGACATGTAGTGTGTACATATAATGCTACAAAAATATAGAAGTTAGAAAAGAGAATAAGTACAATACAAATAATAATTTTAAATGTCTTCTAAAAATGATGACTTCATACTACTATTAGTTAATATCTCAAGGCAGAATATACATTTAGGACAAAGTAAATCACTAATAACATGGAATATAAACCCACATGTAAATGTTGATAATTATAAGTGATCTGTTTAGATTAGATAATCATTGTTTGTGCCTCATAATTTGGCTGATGAAGAGTCAACACTGGGTGTAAAGCAGGCATGTACGATTGACCTATTAGCACTCTCTTCAATAAATGGTTTCCCTGAAGGAATTTTTGGAGCACTTAAGCATTTTGTCTAGTTAAAACTAGATAATATCCATAAATCCAGTCATCCAAGCAGACCTCATCGGCAAAATGACACAGTATGATGAAAGTGAACTTCCAAGTGAGGATGCGATTTTCAGCAACTTACATACTTCACATAAAGGCATCAACATCGATCTGCATGTTTCATATTAATTTTATTTTTACAAATTCACATGGATACATTCTAACATTTTGTTTCTATGATCTACTAGAATATCTTGCAGCCACTGGAATAAGTACATCTTCATTTTAAGACCACTGCTTTAGAGAATTAGTTCACATAATGCTCAGTTTTTCCTCTGAAAAGAAACTTTTAATATTTTCTTCTAGAAGAAATTTTTTACAGTGAAAGAGTCAACATACCTTTGACTTTTTTTCTAGTTTCATCATCAGCAGTTTTAGTAGTTGGGTTGTTAAATGCTTTTAGAATGCTCGCTTGTATTCTCTATAAAACAAAGTTAATAAGAATTTAATAAGAATCTGTTCTTTCACAGCAATATTTTTTGTGTCTTTGAATAGAATTTGGTTTAGTAACAGTTAACTCCAGTCTCATCCTCTTAATAACAGAAGGACTTTCAAACAGCAAGGTACACTGGATCTCAGTTCCCTAGTCTGTAAAATAAAATGAATTTTTAAAAAATTAAACAAGAACACTGAACAATTCTCTTCTTTGGGGGAGAATTGTTTAAGAAGCTCTTAAATTGGTCACTCTGACTTCCATGTAGATTATTTTATTAATATACATATGTGACTAATGTCCAAATATCAATTAATGTACAAAGCAAGAATACCCTAAATCTTGCTTGTTTTGTTTGAATTTAGTTGTAAATAATGTCATGTCTTAATTAAAGTCTTAAGCAGCTCTTAGTAAATGACAAGATTTGTTTCCACATCTCTTGCACGTGGATTAGGAAAGATCCAATCTCACAGAAAACTTTTAGAATTAAATAAAACTATATATTCCAATAAAAACTTATCTAAGCTAACAAATCATCACCTTTACACTAATTATGCCCTTAATTAGTGGATGAATTTAATCTTCTCTGATTCGTATTTTACAGTGCAGTGAAAGCTTGTTAATTATCCTTCAAAATATTTTTTAAAGTCTTAATCATAGGTTTTCATATGTGAAACCACTGTTTGACCTGAACTTCCTGGTGTAAAAATAATAATTTTGGTGTTAAAAATTTATTATGTCATAGGGAACCTAACCCAAACTGCAGACTTCCCAGAGAATCCAAGGTACTGTCCACTGCTCAGAAGAAAATTCGCAGCCTTATATATTTAAATCAATTGAAAAGAACAAAAACAAATTAAGCAGCCAACTTATATATTTAGAAAAAGAATATCAAAACTGACCAAAAGTAGAAGAGTTAGTGAAGATAAAAGTAGAAATTAAAGAGAATAAATGAGTCAAAAGACAATTCTGTGGTCGGGAGATAAACCCACTAGCTAATCTTAATCAAGACAAGGATGAAAAGCATAACATTGCACCCAAGAAAAAAAGGAAACCACTAACAAAATTAAAGACACTTTCAGTAATCATAAGAGGCCACTTTACTCGACTCTCACATAATTACATTGGAAAATTCAGGAAAAAAAAAAACCAGATAATTTTCCAGGAAATTAATGCCACAAGAGACAGAAAATCTTCCAGTTTTCATGGAGAAGGAGAGGGGAAGAGAACATTGTTAATTAGTACTCTTTACAAAAATCTCTATACCCTAACAGTTCACAGAGGAATGCCACGAATCCTATGTTCCAGGGCATAGAAAAAAGGAAATTTCCAAATTATTTTCCTGAAGCATAATATTGGTACCAAAAGCTGACAGAGAGTACACACAATACCTACCAATATCAATTATGAAAAAATTCTGAAAAAAAAGCAACTGAATACAATAGCACATTAAAAATACAGTATGACCCAGAGGCTTTTATTCTAGCAATGCATACCATTATAGTAATATAAGCCATTATATTAATAGGTGTAGGAGGAAAAAATTATAAGACCAAATCCTTTGACATCCCCTATTCACTATTAGTTACCATTGTCTTAAAGTTCTATTCATTGCATTTGATAGTAAAATAAATCTCAAAGGTATAAAAATTATAAAGAAGATAAAACGTAATAAAGTTAATAGCCTTCACACACAAAAACCAGTTAGAAGATATGGAATACCTCATTTATAATAGCAACTAAGACGATAAAATAACTAGGAATAAACTTAAGGTAAGAAATGTGTAAAATCTAAATGAAGAAAACTTTAAAACACTACTAAAAGACACAAAAGAAAACCTGATCGCATACAAAGACACACGATGTTCCTGGATAGGTCCTAAGAGTATAAACATATCAATTCCCCTAATTTGTGCATTTACCATAATGTCAGTAAAAATAGCAAAAGCTGGGGTTTGGGTTTTTTTTGGTTTGTTTTTGTTTTAATGTGAGAAGTTGAAGGAGAGATATGGAAAAATAAACAATAACAATGAAAACTGGGGAGGGGGCAAGTGTAGTGAGAGATGACTAGTCCCACTAGATTTCCTGAAATGCATTAAAACTGTCATAATTTAAAGTATGATCCTAGTATTCAAACAGATAGGCAAATATAATGGGAAGTTAAGAAACAGACCCAAATATATATGAAAAATTAGTATAATTAGGGCGTTATTAATTGACTGGGAAAAGCATACTACACAGTTCAGATTACTGTAGGATAGTCAAATGGGAAAAAAGGAAATAGGATATACTTTAATGGATCAAGAGTTAAATTTAAAAATAAATCATAAAAGTACTAGAAGAAAACACGGGAAATTCTTTTATAACCTTGGAGTGGGAATGCTTTTTTAAGTACGACTCAATATCCAGAAGCCATAAAAAAAAGTGTTAAATTAAAAAAAAAATTTTAAACTTTATATATATATAAAAAAATGCTTCTACATTATAAGCAAAATCAAAACATAACTGACAAAGTTGGAAACATATTCTCTCTCCTCATATACAAAAACCTTTCAGAAATCAAAGAATCAAAACTCAGCAGAAAATTGGGCAAAAAATAAAAACAGATGAAAAGATATTGAGCCTAGTATAAAAAAGAAATGTACACTAAAAGTACCGAGATACTATTTTCTACCTAGCAGATTGGCAAAAATTAAACAGTCTGACAAAACAGTCTTCTGGTGAGGCTATGGGAAACAGACTCCCTTATATGGTACGTTGCTGACAGAAGTGAAAATTGTATGCCTATGGAAATTATTTAGAGTATATCAAAATTACAAGCATATATATCATTTGATTCAGCAATCTCATTTCTCTATTTATACAGATGTACTTACACACATGCAAAATAATATATATACATTATTCATCACAATATTGTTCATAAAAGCATAAAGCCAGAAACAACATGTAAGGGATATTCATCAAGGAACTGGTTAAAAATGCTGAGCTTAGAAAAAAAAGTAAGGAAGCTTCCATTCTTCTTACATGAAAGACTGCTACAGTATCTTAAGTGAAAAAAGACAAACTGCAGAAAGGTGTATATATAGCATATGCCACTTTTTAAATAAAGAAAAAGTATAAATATATATACCACCAAATGAGAGCATAAACCAAGAAAGATAATATGGTTTACAGGCAACATCGGGGCAATACTGAAAAGAGGCAAAGGGAATTCCCAGGAGCAAGTTAGTAAAAATTCCAGAATGATGTCTATGCATCAAAAGTGGGAGGCAACCAATCCAGATTGGACCAGTGAGACTTATGAGTTAGACATACTACCAACACCAAGATCCCCTCTACCACTATACCATGTTTTTAAGCCAAGGACAGAATATATGGGGAATAAGCGGCTAATGTCTGTACTTTCCCCTCCATGCCCCACTGCCTGGATTGGCAGTGGATATATATTATCCTCCAGAATCATTCTGCTATGACCTATTCCTGAGAGCCATGAACCAGAAACAGAAAACAGAGAAGCCTCTAGCTTTGCTGGACCAGAGAGCTAGTACCTGGTCTCTTCTATACCTCTGCTAATTGTCTTGACATTGACATACCTGGCTTAAAATACATTCATGACTTCCCCAGAAAGAGCTCTTGTAAACTCTGGGAAGCCAAAGCCAGACTATGTCACAGAGATTCTCTTGGCTCATCTTCTTTTGGGAGCCTTCGTCCAATAATATCAATAGGTTTGTGCTTGCTACTCAGTTTTGCAAAACTAAATAATATATTGTCTAAGTATACATCGGTAGCTATCAAAATGAGTGGTTACCTCTGATGAAGAAGAAGTGTTTAGAAAAAAAAGAACAGGTAGCTTCTATGGTACTATTCTATTTTTCTTTTTTTTTTATAACTTCTAGGGGTGGTGGTGAGGAAGAGTGATAGTGATATTTATATTACGCTTTAAACTGTGTATATTTGTACATATTCTTCTATACACATGAAATGTTTCATAAGTTAACACCCCCCCCCAATAATTGTGGAACTGAGTTTCATTTATTAACTGTCCTAGAATCAGCACATTATATTTCCTAGAACTGCTCACTATTTTCTTCTAGTGTATTTTGAAAGTTAATGCACAATTCAAAAACTTGAATATAAACAGGGTAGGGTCTAAAAATAAACATACAGTAATCCATACCATGTCATACTGTCATGAAATATATGCAAAGGTAATCAAAATAATAAAATATACTCCAGAAACTACTAAAAATTAAAATAATCTCCAATTCAGACTCCAAAATTGAAATAATTCAGATACTGTCTAATAAGCTAAAGCTGACTTACACCTTGAAAAAATAATTTCTTTAACCAAAATAAGCAAATTAGAATGGTATGAATTTCATGCAGGAGAAATATTTAATGAATGTAAATGAAAAATTCCAATAAATACCAATGTTCACTTGTAAATATTTAATGTAACTGTAAAAAGCCTCTCTAGCTATTAAAAATAAAGACCTCTAACTCAACTTGGAAGCCTAAATTTATTCTACAATTTGAACATTTTATAAATTATATATGACTTTCAATATAATTTAATAAGCCTTTACTATATTGTAAAATGTAAGCTATCATGATATTATACTCTTAATAAAAGAGTAAAAACAAACAAAATAAAACCCCAAATAAGAGTGAAAACAATGAAGTTGATTAAATTATTAACTTTAAACTATTAGACTTTGGCTTTTTTACTGTATCCCAGCCATAAATTTATATTCTTCCCTCTATACTGTTAGAGAGATAATAGGTAACTTATCAAGTTGAATAAAATAAATGAGTTTAGGTACATCTACAAACTCTCACTGTTAAGAGTTGTGCTTTGAAACATTTAGGTTAAAAAAACAGACTTTGGTCAGAGAGCTGTTAACAACTGCAGCACATTAATCAACTAGCGCTATCAAAGTTCAACTATTTCAAATTTCATCTTAAACTTCTTTTAAAAAAAGGAATGCAGAAATTCATAGTTTTATGCCTTTTAAATAATCCTATCCAATAATGTATTAAAGTTATATGTCTTTGAGAAGATAATAAAAATGTAACATCATTATTTTAGTGATAGCTAAAATTAAAAAGAAAAAAGCGCAGGTTATGTTTCTAAGTTGAAAAGCCTGCCTATAAAAGAAGTTCTTATACTAAATTTGATTTTATTTTTCACATAACAATTTCCAATTTTTGCACAAATGATCCCTTTAGTGCTCTATTCAGTAAGAGCATGTTATATTCATAAACTTTATAGTCATAAGAAAAAGACTTTAATGAAACAATATGAAAGGAGGTCAGTAGTTTTTAATCATTACTAAAAGATTCTGGTGGCAGACATAACGGTATAGCTTTTCTTCAAACAAAAAACACATGGCAGTGACAACTACAATAACAGCACGATTGACAGCTGTGGGGTTCCCAGGCCAGACAATGCAGCTCCTGCCTCGGTACTCACTGTAACTGATCAGCACAACCGTCCTTGCTTGCAAGACTGAATAGATCCACAGACTTGACATTTTAATTTTGTCACACCATCTAAAACCCTCAAAGAGAGGGAGAAAGATAAGAGCTTTCAAAAACCAGTGTTTCCTGATGTGCTGCCTGAGTTTTTAAGATACTGTGAATCCTAATGAACCATTATGACAAAACAACAATTTAACTGTAACAAAGAATGCCATCAAGTAATAGAAGTGAAATAGAAAAAAAATGATAGAGAGAGATTTTATTGTTCTATTCATAATATCAACAGAAAAATAATGTAGAGGTAATTTTTAATTCTATTTCTAATGATACATGACCCCCAATTATCAAACATATTCTTTCAAATTAAAGAGGAAAAAAATCATTCTAGCGATTGGTAGATTGAATGAAGTAACTCCCTATATCATCTGCAGGCTCTGAAGCGTCAAAATACATTTATTCATAATACAAAGAAAGAGCATCTCTCTCCACACTGCTATCTTGTATCTTCTTCTTCAACGAGAGTATTAATAAACCATAGTTACTGAATTAGGCTAATACTTTTCAAATAGTAAAATAATTATGCTTAAATTTTAAATAGCAAGCTTAACAAAGAATGTATTATTTATACTGGTCACTGAAGACAAAGCATTAAAACTAAGCTTTAATAAGCAGTATTGTATAGAAAGATCATTAGTTTGATAGAAAGATCAGTTTAAATCTCCATTCTTGGTATGTTTCTAGAACTAAGAAAATATCATCAAATATTCGCTCATGGGGGATTGTGCTAATGTCCCCCAAATTTAACTAATTATATATCTCTTAACTGATTTTAAAAACAAATTATAAGTAAAACATAACAGTATTATTCTGTCAATTTAATAATTTACTCAAATTGTAACCTATTCAAAATAACTGTAAATCTCCAAGAAACTAGCTACTATAACTTAAGAGACTGTTTATTTTATTTTCTTCCCAATTCAAGTTCTCAATAGAAACTGTCCATTTAAAGGGTAAGCACTGACAACTTAGTCAACAAACATTCACTGAGCATCTACTATGTACAATGTACATGGGACACATAGATAACAGTATCAATCCTTGAGGAATGTCACCACAGCCTAAGGCGACAAAAACAAATTTAAATAGAAGGTTGTAGGGTTCTAATCAAAATATATAAAAGTAGAGGATGGCAGAAACAGAGTGACACCTTCAAAAGTTAAATTTAAGTCAATAAACAGCTAATTAAGAATGGCACTGTATTAATACAGTTGGCCCTTTGTATCTGCAAGTTCCACATCCCTGAATTCAAACAACTCAGAAAAAAATGTTATATTGTTGCTGATGTGTACTATGTAGTTAGGCCTGCAATGGTACTGAACGTGTACAGACTTTTTTTCTTGTCATTATTGCCTAAACAATACAGTATGACAACTATTTTCATAGCATTTACATTGTATTGGGTATTATAAGTAATCTCTAGAGATAATTTAAAGTAGATGACGTGCATAGATTACTGCATATACTACACCATCTTATATAAGAGACTTGAGCATCCATGGATTTCAGCATCGGTGTGGGGTCTGGAACCAGTCTCCTGCAGACACTGAGAGACAACTGCATACTGGTAACATGAGGGAGTGATTAACTCATTCTTTAAGATTATTTCTAAGAAAATATGAGAAGCCTAATAACTCTCTCTTCACTGAAAACCAGCTTTTAGGAGTAAAGAAACACTATGATGTTATAACTCAAAGTAGAATTTTTTTTTTAAAAAAGGGAAGAATCCACCCTCCCTAGCAATATAGTAACATCTACCACAAGTATAGGAGCACTTTTCACCAGGTTGCTTTACTACATAGTAATATATAGATTAAGAAGTATATTCACCTTGAAGAGGAAACAGGATTTCACCTATTATGACAATTATGAGTGACAGGGGCTCCCCACAGTGCTATATTGAGAATGATGCTGACTGAATCCAGACTCAGCAGAGTTATTATGAATGATCGGCAAAGTCTGCTATGAGTAAGAAGGGGAAAATGGAAGAAATGTACTGTGAATTTGACATCTTTAATATCCCGAATTTTCTCTGAAAACAAAAATTATATGCTATTTGCATAGGATAGCAACAAAAAAGTTGAATTTAACTAATTTAATGTAAGAGTCAACAAACGGCTAATCAATTAAGGGAAAAGATTACAACACTGTTTAAGGAATCTATTCAGTCCATGAGCCATTTGTTCTGTTCTAAGAAACATTCCCTGATTCAGAAGGCTGGGGCCCAATTCCTCTAGACACCGGTGACTGATCACTGAGTGGATCCTAATCCAACATGAGATAATGAAGTTTTTCTCTTGGGAATTGGGATTCACAAACAGGCAGTTTCATTTTTATACATACAGAACTGCAACATGCAAACTGTGGTGATCATGTGCTGCCACTCAGAGAAGCAGAGAAATTGCTCAGTCTGCAAACGGATGAATAAAAGAACCCTACAGAGCCAGAGAAACTAGAAAAATAAGAATACTTTCTGGATTCCTGAGAATCTTCCTGTCCCAACTATATCCCCTTTCACCTGGATTCTTAGATCCTTTTTCTTTATTTAAGCTAGTTTTAGTTGATTTATTTATAGCCAAAGGGTTACAAATAATAACTAATTTAGGTTAACTAATAAAGGGTAATAGGGGTTGTGAAAGGGTGAAAGTTAATAATCCTATGGTAGAAGAGTCAAAAAAGAGAGAAAGAAGAAATAGCATAGTTAGAAAAATATCAAATTACTTCTCAGCCATACATTAAAATTATCGTAGAAATTAATTCCTTCAGTTTTATACCCTCTTCTTAAAGAGTATGTATGATATACATAAAGAAATCTGACCTTTGTTTCTTCTGTCCTCACTGCATCCAGCAGATAATGCAGAAGTTCCTGACTGTCCTGTTGTTGAAAACTTTTAAATCGAGGGGCTCTATGATTTAAAAAAAAAACAGGAAAGAAAAAAAGAACAATCATTTCATCAACAACATATTATTATTTATAAAATCACTTTGAAATAACATAGCCATGGATTCAACTTACTTCTTTTTCTATGAAGTCAAAAGACAAAATGTGATTACTGTTCCAATTAGGATGAAATCTTAAGTCACTGAGAACAATATGGCTATCCTTTATTAGGCAACTACTACATGCCAAGCACATATGTTAAGTTTTACATAGGTTAAGTCACATAATCCTCAAACAAGCTTGGGATATACTATTTTCTCCAGCTTATATATGAGGGCTCAGAGGGACTGTTTAAGTAATTTGCACAGTCACACAATAAGCAAAAACAAACAAACAAGCAAAAAAAACAGTATTCAAACTCAAGCTACTGTGATCTATTATCTTCCTACCTTAAATAATCAAATGCATGTGATTGTATTAAAATAAAGAATTATAAACTGATGTCTCTGTGAATGTATTTTAAGAATTTGACAATTTCTAGTGTATTAATTAAATAAAAGGATCGAGTGCTATTCATAGAAACATCAATACAGCAAATATTTAGTTGATTTCAGTTATATTCCTGGCAATGAACTCCAGTTCTAAACGAGCATTTTTGCCTTAAATGCAAACAAGTACTAAATTTAGAAAGTGCTCTAAGATGAAAGAATTTTGTCAAAATAACACAAAATAGTAAGACTATATTATATAACAAGACAAGTTTACAATTGTCTCATGGTACAGTATACAACGTACCTCATTTGATATACACAACAGTGCCGTTAGGGAATTCATAATTAATAAGAACTTCATTTTACACTTGAGAAAACTGAGGAACAAGCTGAGTGCCACTGACATAAATCCAGGTCTTCTGATTCTTGAGTTCAGTACTTTAAGCATTATTCCTCATTATCTCATGATACATGTTCATCCTAGTAAAGCACTAATGTGAGGCCCTGGTGTTAAAAAGCTATTCAAAACAGGCGTGAATCTAGCCTGTAACAGAAATCATCTTAGTTACTACTACTCACTCTTGCTAAGAAGTAGCACATAGTAGAATCGTGTTGAGCACTTTCATTTATTCCCCTAATGGGCTTCCCTTTCTGCATGTTGTGGATACTGTTCACTTCCTAGATCAGAGATGAGGACAGAAACCAAGATAGACACCAATTCCAACCCTATTTGGGCCTCTACAGCTAGACTCTATGAAAGGCAGAAATTGCATGACACTATACTTGTGCTGTATTACAAAAGGTTAGTGGAGTGGAAGAGAACTGGAGGGGGAAGGTAAATCCTTCAGAGATCCTCACCAGCAAGGCAGCAGGTAGGAGGAAACAGTTTATGGCTTTTGAAGCAGGCACACAGGAAGGAAATTGGTCCTGAACAAAGGAGAAACTGTCCCCACCATCTCTCTGCCTATAGCTCCAACTCAATCATGCACAAAGCACTTACTGTCTTCTAAACCACTGAAGAAAATTTACTAAGCTGGATTTTTTTTCTTTCTTCCTTTACCTAGAACTGAGGAAAAACTATAACTTATAGAATCCCTCATGGAGCCAATCTGAGCTACTAATACCAAAAGAGACCTTCAAGCTTAAAAAATAGAAAGAGAAAAATCATCAAATATATGAAAAGATTCACCCTATTTGAAATAAGGGAAACATTATACATTCACAGGAAATGTACCTTAGTAAAAACGTTACCATGGAAAAGAGGAGGGAACCTTTAAAAACCTCAAATTGTAAGAGGAAATTGTATGTCCACTCATTAAACAGGAATAGATTGTCAAGAAAAAGAAATTTAGAACGAGAAAAGTGTAGAGATGTCTTCTAGGTGAAGATGAATCAGTCTGTGCATGATCCAGAAACTACTCCAAGCACAGCAAATTTAAAGAGAGAAAACAAAAAAAAAGTCTTAAGTGAGATTCAGTATCAAAAAAACAAAACAAAACAAAAAACCCACAAACAAAAAACCCCACAGAGCAAAACTAGAACACAAAATAGTAGACAGAGAAAATAACAAGACTTAATAGCCCCTGGGTCTGAAGGGTGAAGAAAACTAAAAATACTTTGCATCGGACAGAGCCAGGCTCATTGGTTAAGGATTGTTGATCTTCCTTCCTGAAAGAAAGCCTCTGGGCAAATGTTGCCTAAGGCTACAACAGAACACAGCCTAGGGACCTGAAGCTGAGCCAAGCCTTCTACAGACTCTTCTCACAGAACCGCAGAAAGATAACTGTGAACCATTAAGAGACCTGGATCTCCAAGGCCAGCTTAGAGGACAGGGGCGAGGCTATCTTAAAATTAAAAGTTTTTAGGCAGTGAGGAGGAGAGTATGAGAAAGGAAGGTGATGGAAAGAAAGGGGAGGTGATGGGAGTGGCAGGGAAACAAGAAGGTGTAGAGAAAATGGAAGAGAGTAAATGGGCCAGCGATGGAAGAAGACAAACAAACAAAATCTACTCCAAAGAAGCCTATAAACAAATATTATAAAACACGCAGAAATTTAACGTTAAAAAAAAAATCAACTGAAATGAATTTACTCCAAATAAATCTTATAGAACAGTCTCAATGAAGTTACAATAAATATGTTGAGAATGTCCAAAAACAAAGGCATGCTGCCGATAAAGGCCTAGATATTAAGAAAAATTGGAAAAAATTAAATAAGAACATGTTGATATTAATTAGATAGGCAGTTAAAAATATTAGCAATAATAAAATAAAATCACAGATGTAAAAATGCAAAGGATAGGATATTAAACTACACAATTGAAGGGTGAATTAGTAAATTAGAAGGTAATACAGAAGAACATACATAAAATACTATACACTGTACTTTCATTCTATCTTCAGAATTTGGTGGCACTTCTTAAGGTACATGACACACCAAAGAATAGTCTTAAGGTAAATCTAACAAAGTATGTGCAAGATTTGTAGGCTGAAAATCACAAAACTTTGATGAGAAAAATCAAAGACTTTAACTGAAAAGACATATCATAATCATTCATGGGAAGATTCAACATTAAGATGTCAATTCTGTCCAAACTGATCTACACATTCAATGCCAACTCCAGTTGACAAACTAATTCTAAAATTCATATTAAAAAGTAATGCAACTAGAATAGTAAAAAAAAAAAAAAAAAGGAGGAGGAAGAGGAAGTGAAGGAGGAGGAGGAGGAAGAGGAAAAAGCTCAAGGACTCACATTACTCAATTACAAGATTTCCTATGAAGCTACAGTAATCAAGACCTTGCAGTACTGGCACAAGGAAAGATCAATGTAATAGAACAGGGTCCAAAAACAGGCCCAACAAATATGACAAATCTTCATCTTATTTTTTAAAAATCACTTTTCTTAATATGTATCTCTTTTTAAAGTAAACACAATAAAGCAAAAGAAAATGTAATTTTTAAATATTTTCAAATAATGTTTGACCATTCTATTTATCCTACAGATGTATTCTCTCAAGTGCAATAAGATGTATACACACACATACACATATGTAAAATCGAGTAAGTTATATCCACATGTACTATAGAGAAAGATGTACAAAATATTAACCAAAACAAGCAAGTTGCAGACAATTTGTGTTTCCATACATGCAAAACCACTTTTGAAAATTAAAAAACAGATAATAGTTTGAATTTTTGTCTATGAGCACTTATTTTAATAATTTAACAAATTATTTTAAAAATTCTTTTAAAAAATCTTTATAAAACTACAATGAAATGATACAAAAAGCTACTTTTAGTAGAGTCAAAAACAAAGTTCTAAAGCATATAATGTCCTAAAAACTTTGACTTTATGAGGCACCCATCTCTCAGACTTTTCAGGGCTTTTGCCAAGCAAATGAAACATATCATAAACTCTCCATACTTTGAACTACACTTAAAATACCATGGCACATTATGCTAAGTGAAATAAGCCAGTCATAGAAAGACAAATAAAACTTTTTTAAAAAAGAAATTAACATTGGTATAATACTATGAGATAAAACACAATACCATGGCATAGATAAGCTTAAATTAAAATAAAATTTTAAAGATTGTAGATATACAAAAATGTAAGTTCTTCAATTCACTTAAACTCTATTTGCATCTTTTAAAATAAACTATGTTAGATGATCTATTACAGCAAATTTCATATTTTATAATTCTATTTTCTTACTTTATAGTATTATATTGTGAGGTTCTGAATCAAGACAGACCTGTATTAGAATCCTGGCTCTGTCACTACGAAACGAGGTAAACTACTCGACTTCTAAAAGTCTCTGTTTCCTTATATAAAATGGGAATAAATAATCACTTCATAGCAGTACAAGACATAATTTACATAAAGCACAGAGCTGAAACTAAACATGTTCTTTCTCTTGGTAGTCTAAGCAATAATAGCAATGTTACAGTAAGAGTGAAATTACTCATATTAAGTGATAAATACAATAACTCATGATTATTTATATTAAGAATACACATGCACTCACTTCTGACAAAGCTGATTGAAAAGAACTTTAGGAGAAAGTGGTCCTTTTTCAGTTTCTTTCATGCTGTGAAGAAACAGGAACAAGGCTGAGGTCAATGGTCCAGGACTTGAAAGTTCCACCATTAATGGATCCTTTAAAAACATAATCAACTCTATGTCAGAAATATATATTATTTAAAATCTAAGAGTTATATTTTGTTTAAATGATGACAACTAAATTGCCTCAACTGTATTAAGACACTTTATTCCCTCATATAAAAATAAATATACAAAAAAAGAAAATGGAATTAAATGCCTTATCTTAAAAAACACAGGTATTCTCATACCCTATGCCTTTTATGTAAATAGAACTATTAGCTTAAGAATGAAATCACTAATCTTTATTTGCTTGAAACTGTCCCTTAATGTGCTCTCCCAATAGCAAAATTATTCATCTACTTGATATTTGTACATCTTTATAATTATAAATTATATTAGCAAAACTTCATACTCTTCTTTTCCCCAAATAAATAAGGAATGGGAAATTAAATCACAAAATTGGTATACCATCTCCCTCTTGTAAAGGAGAGAGACATAAAGCTTGACAAAAGCAGCTAAAATTGTGTAAAGGATCAATGCCTTTTATTCTAGAATTTTTTTCCCACCAAGTTTTGTTTTCTAAAACGTTACCTTCACCAGTAACTCCCTCTCTTTACAATGAATAAAAAGCACATTCCAAATATAATCTTCAAACATTAGAATGTTATCTCCTAGGGCAACTATTATGTTGTCTCATTCACGTGTTCATGAAATACACGTAATGTATATATTTCATACCAACTATGCTTAAAAATCCACAACCTGGCTAAAACCACATAAAGGACAGGCTATAATTTTCCATAGCTTTTGAATATCAAAGTGCTTTTTGCTATGTTAAGTGAATTAAGTTACTTCAAGTGTCAAAAGTAAAATCTAAGGCAGTTTCGAAGTCCAAGAACTAAGGCGTAGTATCTCCTACTCCCAAATAAAGCATTTTTAGACAAAGGAGAAACCCTTCAGAACTAAGTGAGTAAATAACCTTAGGTTTTAAAAGTACACTTAAACTTTGAAAGCTAAGGTAAATTTGCTGATGAGAATGCAATATGGATGAATCTCACAAACATCGACAGGAAGAAGCCAAATCCAAAAAAGTACATATTATATGATTTCATTTATGTAATTATTAAAACAGGCAAAATGGATCTGTCCTGTTAGAAACCAGGATAGAGGCCATCCTTGTCAGGTAGTGAGGTAATGAATGGAAGGCAATCTGAAGGGGGCTTCCAGCTGCTGATTATGTTCTGTTTCTTGAGCAAAGTGTTAATTTCATTTTGTGAAAATCTATCATCTATGTAATTGTGATGTACGCTTTTCTGTATGAATAGCTTAATAAAATTTTTAAAGTAAGAACACTGCTGATATGTATACAAACATTAACAAATCAAATTCAGCAACATATAATAATAATAATACATCATAACAAGGTGGGTTTGTCCTAGGTTAACAAGATAGGTTTGAAAATCAATCAGTGTAATTTGCCACATTAACAGAGAATAAAGAAGAAAAACTATATGATAATCTCAATAGATGCAGGAAAAGCATTTAACAAAATTCAGCATTCATTCATGATGAAACCTTCAGAAAACTAGGAATAGAAGGGAATGTCCTCAACCTTATAAAGAACACCTATGGAAAACCTACCGTTAACTTCATTCTTAACAATAGTGAAAGACTGAATGTTTTTGCTCTAATTTGAGGATTAAGGCAAGGATGTTTGCTCTCATCTCATCATCTATTCAATATATTACTGGTGGGTCAAGCCAGTAAGGAAAAGAAATAAAAGGCATACAGATTGCAAAGGACAAAGTAAAACTGGTGATCTACACTGACAGTGCCACAGCTCCGGTCAACTGTTTGTTCTAAAATCCGAAAACCTAGATTGAAAATTCCTTCTTAAAAGTGACACAAACCTAAAGTGATCAGCTATAATATCTAATTGCCATACAGTAATCTTGAGACACAGCTCCACATGTGAAATACTTAAACTTAACATTCAACCACATTTCATATGAAACCTTTTCAAATGACTAAGCATTAACTTCCATTTAGTAGAGTAGCCTTCACTATTTCACTATACTTTAGGAGAAGACATTGGAATCTACCATAAAATTTTTTAAGGAGCTGAACAGGCAATGAATTTACAGTTTGCCTTTTAATCAAAAAAAAAATATCACCTTTCAAAACTGCCTCCTTGGAAGAAAAATCTAAGCTTACTACATTGGGCGAAGAATTTTTAGAACTCCTCTTTAAGTACTTTTTAAAAGCCAGATTATGAGCTACACATATACTCTTTCTTCCTCTAAAACACACACACACACACACACACACACGTGCACGTGCACACACAAATCAATTTCTAACTAAAATCATTATTACCAGTGTCAATGAGCTCCAGCCAAAGATCACCAGGAACATACCTACAGTTGAACAAGGTGGGTTTATTACTTGTTGCATTGAGGGAGAACATGAACCACAAGGAATCATGGGGTGTCTCAATAAGAGAGTATTCAAAAGAACCAATATAGGATTTGGGCTTTAGTTGGGTCATTTAAGGAAGAGCCTAAGGAAAGTAGAGGTCTGCTCTTACTTGGATGCTGTCAGAAAGTAGGACTAATTCTATGACTGGGTAACTCATTAACTCTTATCTTTGGGTGGCAGGAGACTAGAATGAGAATAAAGCAATAGCTAGTAAACAAACAGCACTCACTCACTTTGGCCGAGAGAGGATGCTTAGGATTTTCTAAGTGGTAGAGTAAACTTGTTTTTGTCTGTATTTAGATAAAATTATGAAGTGGACTTGCTTTGTCTCATTTTATCAGTCTTAGAGTAACCTAACCTGAAGTTAGTATTTGAATAACAGCCAAGCTATGGGTGCCAGGCCAGCTTCTGAATGTTAGAGGCTGCTTTTACTTCCTCATTAGCTTAAAAACATTATCAGACCAGACTTCGAAAAACTTTTAGATGCTCACTTTAAAATTACATCTACCTTTAAAGGAAAAAAAAAATGCTATCTTTAAACATTGTCACCAGTAACTACAAAATAGGAGTCCTAGACAATTTGCCCAAAAAATGTCAAACCACTTTTGTCTTTGCTAGTAATTTGTTTGGAAGCTATCTCAATATTTTTGTATTGCTTGACCCATATGTTCTAAACATATCTATCTTAAAGTTATGATTTTAGAAGTTTTAAATGTTTTGTTTATCTTCACAAAATGCTTTTGAATTATTTTTCCAAATCCTCTAGCATCTCAGTTGATAGACCTGAGGAACATTAAAGACAGATTTTGGCAATGTCAGTATCTCATCTCAAAGAGCTCTCATCCAGATTGTTAGACTTCTTACCAACTGAGAGTCTGCAGAAGGAAAAATCTTGAGTTTTGTACCATTTTCTTTGATCTCATTCATCAGTTCAGTAAGAATGTAAGACTGTGCCAAGTTCTAAAAGAAAACAAAAGCAAACTCTTCTGATTCAGTTATAATATTTTTGGAATATTATATAGAATATAATATTTTAGAGAATATGATTTTATGTAATAAATTACTTTCTCAAAGTTTCGAATTTCATCTAGCATAGCTAAAATTTTTAAGTTTCAAAAATTTAATTGGATACATTTTATATTTAATGTCGCCATTACTCATAGAGCCATGACAAAATACAGGGAAGACATTTCAGAAGCAATGTGGAAAAGGTATATATATATATATGACAATGGCTAAGATAGCCTAAAACAAACAAAAACAGAAATTTGTAGATGAATAGTTAGTCATTTGACAGTCTACAGGTGTGCAAACAAATACACATTAATTAAAATTGTCTTCTACATGTTACAAAGCTTTCTGGTGGCTCTTACCTGCATGACTGCATTAAAAAAGCAAGTATTTCCTAAATTCGTAATTCCTTTTACAGATGTTACATTGCTGCCTTTTCTTCCCTTTTTTTTCCCACCCGTTTCACATTTCTCTTCACAAAGTTTTATGATTCTAGAAAATGCACCTAAGTTAGAGAAAACATAACTGACATAAGATGTAAATCATTTTATATAATTTAAATATATTATTTAAAAATTAAATTGACATTTCTCCTGAATCGATGTTCCTGAAAGTCAAGAACACAAACAAAAATAAATGTCTTGGGTTTTATATCTTACCGCTAAAGCAATTAATTTTAGTTCATATTAATATAAAATCTGTAACTCACACAACATTGCAGAATAAATTCCGGATGAATTAAAAAATTAAATATAAAAGAACAAGAAGAAAACACCCAGCTCTTGATTTCTAAATATCATTCCTTACCAAAAGGAATGAAGACTCCTTGAAGAAATGGGTGATTCTTAACCGTGGGGCAGCAAAGAGGCAAAATGAACCTATGACACTTTTATTGTGCCGGAAAATGAAGAAATGCTCAAAAAAACTGATGAGTATGTCAAAATACATAGGTATCATTTTGAGTAGGTTCCCACCTGTCCAATCCGAGTCAATCTGAATATCAAAATGAAGAAGGGCACTAATAGATTACTATTCACTGGACAAAATGATAAGCCTAAACTGAAAACAGATTTTAAAATGGGGTAAAAGGGAGGAAACTCTTCCTTAGAAGAGAATGCCAACTAATAAACAGAAGAAATGATGAAATTAGAAAGTCACCATATAGTGGCAATTTTTTGTATTGTTCTTGTAACTTTTCTGTAAGTTTGAAGTTTTCAAATAAAGTTAAAAAATTAACAGAATTATAATATAAAAAGTAAAATACCTAAGTGTATAGTACATAAATGAATATTTTGAGTTTACCAACTTGTAAAATTAATGCAGATTTACAAATTATAGTGTCAGTTCATCATGTTTAATAACATGAAAACGGAGAATGATTCCTGACACAACAGATATCTATTTAACAGAAAATTTCTTTCTGAATCATTAAAATATGAAGTTTAATAGAAAATTCCCAAGTTCTCAAATCTTTTAGTTTTAACTAAATATTCTTTAAATTACTTTCAAGCCTCAGATTTTATAGTATTTTATAATTTTATCTTTTATTCATCTAATACCGACATGCTGCCCTGCATTACTAATTAACTTTTAAATGTTTGGCTGTCTGTCCCTCCAATCAGATTGATGGAGACCAGGGAATGCCTCTTATGACCACTCTTTTTCCCACAGGGGTGTGTTGTTCGGGAGAATGTACATAATAAAAATTCAACATACATGAAAACCTACAATATTAAAGAGCAAACATAGTAGACTTGTAGTCTTCTCTGTCTCTGATGATTTCTTAAGAGGAGGTAAGACATCTCCTCCCCACCAATCACTCTTCTGTACAACAGCATTAAGGGAGATAAACAGGGGTGGAGGCAGCCCTATTCTCAGGATAGGAGGAAGAAACATCATAAAGAGAAATTTCAGTCTTAGGTCCCGGTAGACTGATGTCATGCACATCCTATTGGTTCAAATATGGCTTGACTTGGCACCTTTGACTTTTGCCCCCTCTTCAAATGCATCTTAAGATATGGGGCTCCAGTATCAACCAAATGGAATTATTAACACATTTTTTCAGCAGAATTAAATGAGCTATTTCCAAAATACTTGGCATAGTAAGCACTATGTATCTTCATGAACTATCCTTCACATCCATTGCTTATATGTTTTTATATGCTACATTGCTAATATGAAGTTTGCCTTTTATATTGACCGTAGTTTTCATAATTCTTTGGTATTTCTTTTGAATGTGTAGAAACATCTTATCTCCTTGAGAAAAATGAATTGGTGGTTTCTAAGATTGTTTCTAACATTAAGCAAACCTCTTGCATGGAAAAGATTTTTCCTTCAAGTCTTTTCTCCTACCCTGTGATGCAACTAATTTTTTTTCATAAATCTTATTACCTGCTTTTCCCTTTAATCCTGTTTGCTTATTCTTTAAACATTATTGGTTGTTATTCAATGTTTGTTTTCCTGATACTGAAGAGCTATTTTTAATTCTCAAACCTAGAATTCCAAGTTAACACAGAAAAGAACTAGCAAGATAGATCTCTTCTACTGTCCTCCAGGTATTATTAGAAGTGATAAAATTATATTCCACTAGAGCTTGGGGGCAAAGGCTAGTACAATTAATGAAGAAGGTCATTGAAGTGCAGAGGCCAGGTATGGAGAAAAGAAAAAGCACAAAAAGGCCAGACAGTATTCAAACTCGCAAGTGAATATAACAACAAATGAAAAAAGCCAGTCGGTGCTTAAAAAGCACTGCACAAACAAGAGGAAGTCCCATAGGATACTGGCTGGGTTTGCAAATGAGAGCAGTCCACCTCTTCATTATATCTGAGATTCCAACTAGAGGCTCAAATCAGCAGGTTTCAGGCTCTCAGACAGCCCTTGCCAATAGATGGTTTATGGTGATTTTTAAGAGATTTAGGATGAAAGAGTAATTAAATCCAAGCATTACTCCATCTTTTAGGGCAAGACTGTTACTGATTTTACTTTTACAAAACTCAGTCTCCAACAGGTTAAGCCCATGGTCACAATGATATTTTTATTATAAATCCACTGTCATTTTACCACCTAATTTCTCTTCGGTGACTTATGCACAATGAGAAGAACTAAGATAGCAGGGCAAGATTCTTACAGATTTCGGTATATGCAACTCTGAACAAATATGATTCCTCAAAAGTATTTCTTTTAGTTAACATTCTTAATAAATGCCACCATAATATTTTTCAGCTTAACATAAAACAGAGTGGTTAGGGGAACTAAACTATATGGATGATATTAACTATATTTAAATATATAACATATATAAAAATATATTTATTCATCACTTGGAAAAATACTTCCAGAAATAAGTTATATTTTAATCTTATAAGAATTGTATTTTTAAACTGTAACATGCAAATGATTTACGTATCTGTGTACCACTTTTACCCATCAGTTTTCAAAACATCTGGGATAGCAACCTAAAGTAAACAATGTTCAGAAGACCATCTGGACAAAACTGCAGGCAAAAAAAAAGCATAAACATATGGAAAAACAGATTTTACCCTTCCCTTCAGCAGTGAGGGATGACAAATGTCAAACCTAGATACATCCACGCTTCACTGTGCGATGCTTTTCAGCACCACCTGGCTCTCCACGCAGAGCCACCAAATATGGACAGCACTGCCAGAAAGAACATATCCACAGGGCAATGGCAATAAAAATAGTTTATTTCATGGTTAAACAGCCACTTCACACAAGTGGCAAGGATCTGTTTTGCTGACTTTTACGTGTAAGCCTATGAGAACATATTCAAAATTAATTATACTATTGGACTTGAATGTTAAATAGATCAGATAATTTAACTAGAAAATAAAATGACATTTTCTAAGAACTATTTAAATTTGTTTCATTTACAGTGCAAGTTTTTCATTTTACTAAATAGCACATTTATAAAATGTAACAACTCAAATTGAATTGATCTATCAAATGTCTACTGTGTGCCAAGTACTATATGAACTATTATATTTATTCTTATGATTTATGACTAGAGTATAAGGAATTGATACATAGTGAACAGCAAGGAGATAATTAAGCCTTAAATTCATGATATCTAAGTAAAACTTTATGTAGTGTCAGATGAGTACTAGATATATCGGGGTGATCATCTCACGAGTTACATAGATGTCTATCACTATGTTATACACCTGAAACTAATATAATATTGTATGCCAATTGTAACTGAACAGGAACAATAGTGCCTCCCAAGTTTCCCATTGGCATGAGAAAAGCAAACTTAATTGGTGATTTGCTTAAAGAGTCTGAGAACATTATCTCCCAATATTGTCCCCATTGCAGAGAGATGATGAAATTGAGGCACAAGGTAGTTAGCGGTAGCGGGGAGATTCAAACCCAGGCAGTCTGGCTTTGAAATCCATACACTTAACCATTCTGATCTACTGTCTGTCTGTATATAATGGTTGATAAGGTTAACAAGTGTGATAATTTAAGACATTAATGAAATACTAGTGGTGATACGAAAGAAAAGGCCACTGATCTTAAGCAAAGCTGGATGTAATCAATTGCTGTCATTGGTGTGTGAATTTATAGCTTTATTAAAGTTTATATCAGCCCTTCTCAAAGGGTTCTTCAAAAGAATTAAGCCCTAATACCCTAGGCACCCACTATATGCAATTAACTTCTTCCTATGTATCCAGAAGGGTACTAGTTAGTGCCATCTTTAGGAGAACTGAGAAAACAGTCACTCAAATAATTTTCTATGTTCTGTAGTTCAGATGGGGAACCCCGGATTTCAATCCCTACAGGTAACAATAAATTGTTTTTTAAATGTCTAACATCTGCTTGTCCCTAACCCTAACTACTTTTAGTACTTATTTTTGAAAATACAAAATTCTTTGGCATATAACTGTCACTTTATAGAACAAAATATATTACTTTTAAAAAAAGAGTTGTTACATTACCTTCAAATGGTTACTGTAAAAGAGCACTATATTATTTATCTTCAGATATACTGTTTCAGATCCCAAGCATACTATTTACTCTATTATTTCAAAAAAAAGATACACAAAACTTTTATAATGAAACCTCTAAAAGAACCAACATAAATCATGTCTTTTTATACCAAGAGCATAAATTTAATGAATTTAACAGATGATAATATGCTCTTTAATATTTTATGCTCCTTAAGCTTACTTTAAATGGCATCCCAGTATTAAAATTACAGGCCAAATTTATTATTTTAGAAAAAAACTTGTTTTTATATTTTCTGTCCAGCCTTACTTGCCCTAAGACTCAGCTTAGGTGACATTATTTCACCAGGAATTCCTGTGTTCTGTAAGTATTTACAGAATACTTACATGACATTTACAAGACTATCAAAGTGACAAATGAGCCTTGCAAGAGAATTATCGACCCACTTTTAGCAATACATATTTTTGGGTGGGCCCCACGAGAGTTTTCATGCTCTTTTTCAGTTGTGTTATATATGACCTTTATATTATATTAGGATTT